ACCGAAGACCTCGCCAAATATTTGGTTAGTCTTTGATGGGCTTCGAAAAGAGACAAGGAAGAGGCAACAACGGATGGAAAGGTAGGAGAAATCGAACGGGATCGAAAAGGAAAGAGGTGGAAGTGGAGGAGGAGGAAAATAAGGAAGAGAAGAATGATGCGAAGGTGTGCAAGAGGAAAAGAGGACGCGTGCTGAGCTCTGTGAGCCTTCCCCGTGAGCCTCCCGTGAGCCGTTAGAACCAGAGAATGTCGGGCATTTTTATTGGTTCCAGCTTTGCTTCTCTCCTTCTTCTGTCTTCTCGAAAGTCGGCAAGCCGATCAGCCAGACAGGAGGATCGACGAATCTTTCCTCGTCTGTTACCTAACACATAGGTATTCCTTCTGATCGTTCAACCGTACCTAACTGAGGACCTTCTTCCTTCCTTTCTTTCTTTCTTTTTTTCTTTATTTTACTCCTACATATTGTTACTTTTCTCCTTTCTACTTGCCGGAAGATATTTCAATGTCGATTATTAGTATCTTATAGGAAGAACAAATCATATTAGTTATTTTAAATGATCTAAATGTTTTCTCTAAGTTTCAGTAGGAAGAATTTTGACGTAATTGGGAAAATACAAGCCCTTCTGTCTCGTTTTACCGAACAAATTGCTTCGATCAGAAATCACCAAAATACCGGAGTCAAATTACTCGACTTTTTCGACCGATAGAACTTCCTTAATCTCAAGATATTGGATTCCTAAACGTCAACGTTCAAACTTCAAAGTATAATAATAAAACTTGAACAAATTTTTGGTTATTATACTTTAACAATTTGCATGAAATTCTAACAATTGTGATACGATGATTTTAGCAAAGTATTATAATTAAACGTTAATTTATAAAAATAGAATCTTTTATCTTATGGGTATAACGTAGCTCTTCCTTGTATTTCCCTTGCTACGTACTCGTGCTGATCCCCACCACCATACAATAACATTCCTCTCCTTCCGCTTTTGTATTTTGTAAGTCAATTTGAAACATGAATCGTATAATAATTCAGCGAAGCTAAGGAAAATACGACGGATATTATTCGTCCCACCTAGACAGACTTACCCAGGAGCTTTCGTACGCGCTCCATATTTATGCGAAAAGAAAGAGAAAAAAAAAGAGAAAAAGAGAAAATGAGAGAAAGAGAGAGAGAGAGAGAGAGAGAGAGATAGATAGATAGATAAAAAGAGATTTCGAATTTTCCTACTTTTCTTTTACCCTTACGAGCATAATTTTTTCAAACAAATCATTATTTATCTTTTCATAATATGATTGTTCCTCTCTTTCTTCGATATTTTTACGTTATTGCGGGGGGTTTCAATAAAAATAAAATTCAGACACTGGTAAGTTAAGCTTTTGCGTAAAATTATACCGTCGGTGGGCGTGGAATAATGTATGTAGTTCGCCCTGAAATCGGGACTAGTTGCAATTCCAATGAGAGAACTGAGTGCTAGGTGAGCTTCCTATCTCGACGGATTTCTGTCTTCTGCCTTTCTCATACATATTGTGATTACATTCGAGAAAGTTAGGAGGAGGAGGAGGAGGAGGAGGAGGATGGGAGTGAAAAGAAAAAGAAGAAAATGCAGCACGCGAGAAAATACCTTTCGAGAGGCTTATAAATATTAGAAAGAAACAATAAAGATATATTTTAATATATCCTATTTAAAATGTAATATTGTATGTTTATAATAACATTTAATATTTATTCATGTAATCGTTTGTTAATATATATTTTTTATAGGATTTATACAATTACTTTTCTTAATGTATTTTCCCTTATTTATATTCTCTATCGATCGAAGCAAAAGAAAAATGTCAGTCAGCAGTCGTTGGATATCTTGACCAATGCTAAATAGTAGAAATATAATTCTGTGCGCACGCGTGGAAATCGCTTTATGGTGCGGAATAATGGCTCGCATTCACGGGTAGCCCTCATAACTCTCTCTCTTCCTTATATTGCGCTTTTCGGAGATTGCACGTGGCACTTTTCGTTCGTCGATACGCCCACGTTTCTGCTTCGACATACTTAACGCAATGATGCAACGCAACGCTGAAATTTTCGTGATAACATATAGAGAAAACATCGTTAAAAAAAAGAAAAAAAAAAGGATTAAAAAGAAAAACAAATATCAAAAGAAACTATAAAATTATCGAAAAGAAATCTTATCATACGGAAGTACTTTTAACGAAGAGAAAATGTTTTACAAAAAAAAAAATATTAATTAATCATTTAAAAATGACATTGACTTATGAAATTACAAATTAGCTCATAGTCGAATTGCTATTTTTTTTCTCTTATCTATACACCGAATAATTTATAATTTGTAAATCAAATTAACGAAGAAGAACAACATATATCCATGATACCTGCTGTCGTATTTTAGACTCAACTTCGGATAATTAAAAACATTATCCGAATACAGTAGGAAAGTAACATGGCAACGAAGCAAACAGAGATGATGGTTCCGGTTCTTTCTCTTTCTTTCTCTGTTGCCCATTATTCGAGTCGAAATTCGATTAGCAATTATCCACACATTACATTCGCTCATTAAGTCCGTCTCGCTACTAAATACGAGAGTAATTAAGAACGCTTGCATAAACGCATAGGATACTGATAAGTGCGTGTAAATGGAAATTTGATTCTAATCTCGTTCAATGATACATCTAGTCAATTAAGTATGTTAACGGTACTCTCACTGCTCCTAATAAAATATTTGTTTTTTTATTTTTTTCATATGAACACATACTTGTAATAATTATTCGAAAGAAAAGACTTCGATCATTAATTTGAACTAGTAATTAGAATCTTTGGTATGAAAAAGAAAGAAAGTGAACATGATGGTGATGGAAAGGGATTCGTGATTAGACGACTTCGGTCAGGACATTGCATTAGTTGGTGGCGGTACACATCAAAGGGGACTTCTTTCTTTCTTTCAGTGAAGAAAGTCCCTTCGATCGAAACAATTACTCTGAAGACGAGTGCATAAATAACGAGTGAGAAAGGATGCCGCACAATGAGCCTGATTTACATTATCGCTGTGACGAGTTAAACGAAAATAAATAAAATTTACCAACGCCAATTAGAATGCAACAACAAATTTTTTCTACGAATCTCAAACAAATCTTTTAGATAAAAATTTTTATACAAAAATCATTCGTTGAATAATTTTGAATTTTGTAAATACACGTTTGGTGTGCATAAAATATGTTTGACAAATAAGAAAAAGTAGTTACATTCATAGTAGGTACGTAGAAAAGAAAATAGTGGCAATACCGTTGAGTGGCTGGTAGTATGGTGGCCGGTATGGTGGCCTAGGGGACCTCTGAATAAAGTTTTTCTTTTGGTGGGAGAAATCCTTGTGCTGATGGTACATGCGTGAATGCATATGCAGGGGAAGTAGAAGACGCAGGTGCGGCCACTTAAGGCGCTTACCAACTTCTCCTTCTTCCATTATTCTATCAGGAGGAGTTCTTACGCTTTGGTTGATCGTGTGAAAGCAGAAATAGAAAAATATATTCTGAGATAAGATAATATAACTACATTGAAATCCGAGCTTTGTTGGCATGCACTTTCCAACATATGAACAATGAAAATATCATTTCTATACAATCTATTCGATGGATATAAAACGATATAAAATAACTAATAATAAATATTAACAAATTAGTATATATATACTTTATTACGTGTAAAAAAATGCTTATTTTGATTAATATAAAAAATATAATAGTTTTAAAAATGACATTAAGAAATAATGATGATTTGTTAGGCGCGAAGAATAGTTGAATATTTGAATCGTCTATCGTACTCTAAAAATCATAGTACGGGGGTGCTAGGACCACCGGGTGGACACGTCGTTGAAGTTCGGAGGGTTCCGTAGACCGCCCCTTTCCAGATCAATAATACTATTCCTGCATTGGCGCATGCGTTTTCCTACCAGTATCTCATCTTCTTCCCTCCAAGGTTCTCTAGCTGGTTTCCACCCCCTGCGAGCTATGCTCAGGACGACACGTACCCCTCCATGCAACATTCATAACGCCATCAATATTATACGCGCGAAATAATAACCTGTGCATTTATTATAAGGGAATAGGGGAAAGAAGTTTGCGTGAATCCAACGAACTAAGAGAAACGCATGCCGATAAAAAAAAAAAAATGAAAAGAAAAAAGAAGATAAATAAAAGCTGAGCGATCAATTGAACGATAAATTATGCGTGAAAAGAGGATTCACAAATCCGTCATGATGCTAGCAAAGGTCATTCAGCAAAATTTACCCTACATAATGTATTACATATATATTAGAAGTGGAATTTTTATAGTATATATATATAATTATGCTCTTGGAATATTTATTATTTAAGTTATAGCAATTAATATAACTCGGATTGTGTGAGATGTTTGTTAATATATAAAAAAAATAATAAAGAAATAAATTCGTTTTATTCTTTTTAAATTTAATACACGGTAAGAAACATAACATGTTGGCTAAAAAAATTTATTGCAACGCGTTATCTCTCTTTGAGCTTCATATCTTTCGTTATCTCTTTGACATTTCATTGTCAGTGAAAGATCTCGAACTCGAGATAACAGTTTTCTGGCAATATTGAGCCAGTAGTAGCGTTTCAAGCATCCTTTCGTTTCCTATGTTTCATTGTCAGTCATAAAGAAAAGTGCGTTCGCTTTTCTTTGATATACTTATCGCTTTAATATCGTGCAATTGTTATCGTAATCAAGGCTATTCATTTCTTTTTTTCTTCCCTTTATGAAGCAGCACTCGAAGATAAGAAGCTTCGACGAGTTAGTTTTTTGTATGTTTCGATAAATCATTATTAATTTCTCGAAGTGATTAAATATCGAAGTTTTGTATCGTCCTACTTCGCTTTTATGATTCTTCATACTTTCATTTAGATTGTTGTATGAAAAATACTAAAAATACTTAACTTTGTATAATAAATTCCTATATTCTGTTCATCATGGTCAACAAAAAATACAAATTATTGTTCAGCAAAGAGACTAAAGATTATTTAATGAGGTAGGTATATATTATTTGGGACTTTAATTATTATAACCTTAAATAATTAAACGAATAAAGGATATACACCAAATGTATCATATTTTTAACGTAGTCGTCACTTAAATAATGATTTAATTCACGTGACCATGAACACGAATTAAATGCATTATTGTGGAAAGTTTTCATTATGTCAGATCGCATGCTCAATCATTAACAGAAAATAATAACTTTGGTGTGCGTGTTTTCGTTCTAAAAATCAAAATATAGATTTTGTAAAAACGAGAACGAATTCGTTCGTGCTAGTTTAGCTACGTTGCATTTATCGTTTTCTTCGATCTTTATTATTGAACTACTCTTTAAGTACACATTTCTGGGGACCGGTATTCAACTGGATGATACCTATAGCAGCTATAGCAGACACGCAAAAGCATCCAAGGATCATTAGCGGCAAGATGACTTTGGGTAAGTTCGAACACTAACTCATCATTTCGAAGAATTCTCTTCGACGAGTCTCGTAATAATCGCGACGAAGAAGTTTCGTATAACGACCGCGTTTCTAAAAATGACGAAGAAGAAGAAAAAAAAAAGAAAAAGGAAAATAAGAGAATGAGAAGGTGGGGAGGGGAAAAAAAGTAATACAATCCTCTTTAATTTACCAGAAATATATTGTTTATCTTATATTTTTCAGCCCTTACGTTATACTCGATGACGTTCATGAGATTCGCCTTAATGGTTAAACCAAGGAACATGTTACTATTCGCATGCCATGGGACTAATGTAGCAGCACAATTAATACAAGGATATCGATATCTTGCTTATCATTACGGTTCGAGGCCACTGGAGGAAGAATAATATTCGTTTAGATTCGTTAATATATGATGGAAATATAGTAAATATGTTTACAATTAGAATATTAAATTTATTCACGCAATTAATAAATTTACTTATTGTCAGAGTAAAAAAGAAATTCATAGAATGGACGAGAGAAGATAGGGAAAATAATTTAAACGTATCGACACAATGATGAACGCAACTCTAGCGAATGGTTCATAAAAAAAAAAAGCACAGAGAAGAGAGCATTCATTCGACTGCTGTTGTTGATCGAGTATAGAACATGAAACATCTAAAGAAAAAAGAGAACGAAAGCTTGGAGATACGTTCGAATGTGTTTTCTGTTTTTTTTTGTAGCTCGTACACCAACCCTGCCTGGTCGTTCGGTGTCTCCTTTTTCCAATCGAATCGAAAAGGGCACGAGTTTATTCGCCGGTGGCCCCAATTCCGCTACGCTATGTAGGAATATGTAAGGAGAGCAATAATTTAGCTAGGGGTAGCCTCTCGTGCGATACTGCTGTTTCGAGGAGGGCTACTCGATCGGTATGGATCGTGCTCGGGGTCATTTTATGGGATCTGGCACGACGGATCAGACGCACGAATCTATCCCTGCTTTTTTTTCCAAATGCTAAGCCAACGGTTCGGTCTCCTTCTCACTCATCTGGTTGCTAAAGAAAAAAAAAGGAAAAGGAACATAAAATCCCMCCCCCGCCTATCCGAATAAATATATATGTCCTTATTAGCCCCTTCTTGGACTCCGATCATGCGTTCCTCCTCCCTCTATAATTTCTCGCCTTTGTAATACACTACTCCTTTACATTTACATTTCGTCAAATTAAAAATAATTCACGCGACACACATCATACCTTCCCGTTGTTTTAAATCGAATTTTGAAGAATAAAACACCTCTGTTCATCGGGGATCACAAAAGTGTCAAGTCTGGCGAAAACGAAGGCGAAAACGGAGAAGAACGAGAAACGTTGAAAGAGGGAGGAGGATTCCTACGGGACTGATTTCACAAACAAATGCCGACGATTGAATCCTGGCATGTTGCAAGATGGATCGTTCTCTTTGAATCACAGATTACCCACTGTCTCTTCTTCCTTCGCGAACACCAACTTTCTATCTCCCTCACTCTTTCGTTGTCCTCCTCCTCCTCCTTCTCCTCCTACTCATACTCCTCCACCTTTCTCTTACGAGTCCCCTCCAGAACGAAGAACGTTCAGCAATTTGCCACATGCCCGGAGAAGCCAGGATTCTCTTCTTTTCCCTTGCACTGCAGAGACCGATTTCTTTCTCGTCGTAAAAGAGATCGAACCAAATCGGCCAGAATTGAAAGGGCAAAGCAACGCGACTGAAGGAAGAAGATCCATCGATCGGCCACGATCTCAAACGCGATCTCGATAATACACCTTACTGATTCCTTCTTCAACAACGAAGAAGAACACAACCGGCCCGTCTAAAAAAGGGACGGATCTTTCCTTCGCGTTAAACTGACAAAGTGTAATCCACCTTTCCTTATCGATACGTTCATCGAATCGATACCGATTCGATACCTCTTCTCTTTATTTCGATAACACATATTTTCTTTTACTTTAACTCTCGATAAAAGGGAAAACATTTTTAAAAAGCGAGGACACTAACACACCCCTCACCGTTTTCCCGTCTTCCTTCTCCTCCTCCTCCCTTACTGAGTTGTCGAGCGAATAACTCAATCGAATGAAAAAACCACGGCGAAAAGCCGCGAGTCACGTCGAGCGTGAAAAAGACGCAACCCCTACGATTGTAAAGTCCACCCTCGCTTATTCGATACATATAAGAGTATATATGTATAGTTATATGAAGTCGGTCCATAAAAAAAAAAAAACGAGGACAAGAACATAAGGGAGTGATAGAAAAGAAAAAAAAAAAAAGAAAAAGAGAAAACGAAAATGGACCTTTTTCCCTTTATTTTTTTTTTTTCTTTCATCCGAGACTTTTCGTCGTTCGACGATCTTTAAATGAAGTGCGTTAGCTTATAACGGCCATGTAAAGTCTTCCAGGGTGGATTCGCGCAACTACGAGGAAAATGCGTTTGACTTGAAAAAAAAAAAAAAAAGAAATCATCCCCGGTGATACGCGTGGCGAATTCACCCTGCTGTAAGAGGTGGGCACCCTCAGGGGTGAAATGAATCAAACGCAACCCTCCCTCTATAAGAGACATACATTAAACCGAGACAGTTCTCGAGAGCATCCTGAGATATCGGAATATTCGACGAATTTCTTACGTACCATCTACTACTATGAAACTAAAAGCCCAAATTTCATTATTCTAATTCTTATTAAAAATATCATTAAAAATCTATTTATATAAAAATGTAGTAGTAGGTGTATAAGTAAAAAATGTCTTCACGTTGTCAAAATTTAAGAGGAAGGCAAGCCGTTTATTTTTCCATTCGACGACTCCGATCGAGAATGAGATAAAACATTTTGCGAAAATTTTATCTTGCGTAGAAAACATATTTTCCAAGAGAATTCGATCACGAGGCAAAGTATTACAACGCCGGGATAACAACATAAGGTACATACTCGAGAATCGAACTCTATGGGGGAAACATAGTTATTTCTGGTGGATTCATAAAAAAAAAAAAAAACGAAAGTTCTCGAATCAGCCCTCTAAAATAACATTGTACCCGAGACGAGAGTGGTGGTACATCATAAGTCCGTGAAAACGGTTCACGGTTAAAAAATCATAAGGGTTGCAATCTTGCGTGTCATCCCTCCCTTAAATACTTGCCAACATTGTGTATTTTTTTTTGTCAATTAAATCAAAAAGCAACTCATGTGTTTGTTGGATATCGAAAATAATGTATGGAAAGAAAAACGATACAGTAACTAAGAATAAAATGATTGAATTTTGTGAAAATTGAAGATTCTATTAGTTTGAAAGTGGATAGAAAGAAGTAAACAAGTATTATCGAACAGAATCGGAACCCCAGAGCGAGTAAAAAGGCAAAATAAGACACCGTGCGCGGAAAATACGCGCGTGTTTCTTAGATGAACGCAAGCGCGAGTTAGAAACCGATTTCAGAAAGCGAGGATGGTTTATGACCCGTAACGCTTCGAGTAAGACCCTTCCTGCGAAGCATCCATCCACCTTCTCTCTCTCTCTCTCTCTTTTGGCACAACGTGACTCCATCCCTTCGTAAACTCGATCCAATATATTAGGGTTAGCTTCCAGGAAAAGAAGCTATCGATGGCACTGGCCGAAATCGATGTATCCTCGACTTTTCGATTTGAAAATACCGAATGGTCTTTTAATTTGAATATTTTTCTTTTTTTCTATAAAATTTCTTCAATACAGTATGGCCTATTTCATGTAAATGTCCAAAAAAAAGAAAAAAGACCTTTTCGATTTCCCAATTCCTTAGAACTTGAAACTACCTACCTTTCCACGATTGCTCGAGATAAGGGGGTGGGTCTCGTCCGTTTGAAGATTGGGGTTGGCAACTTTGAAGGATATTTTTTATTCATGTGACGTATCCGAGGGCGCGGGGGAAAAAAAAACACATTCTACCGATCTGGAGTCAAGATGGAGACCGACGTAAGAACTTTGATCCTTACATTCTGCAGGATGTTCAATTTTAAATTTTATTTCGACCAATGCCTATGTGTTCGTTCCCTGTCGCGAAAATACACGTTCACTCATGAATTATCAATTTTCTTATATGGAATTATCGAATTGTTTTGTTTGAAGTTAAACTTATTCTGGATGTAAAAATGATATGTCTGTAATATACGAACACATTTATCTAAAAACACGCGCACGCGCGCACACATATATATATACTTATATATATATGTATATAAATATGTTTTGCAACCTATCTCGGGCAATATATTTTATTAAATTATCGGCAACGCTATAACATTAAATATAGTACTAGGAGAGCAAGAGGTCGAAAGAGCAGCAAACGTTTCGGTATCGCTTCTGGCCATTAAAGGTTTTATCGATTATTTATATGCAGCAACGTTACACAAACGAGATGCCCGCGTAATTTATCTGACACGATCGCACGTACGCTTATTTTTGTTAATATCCCAAACGGCAAGTATGAAAAGCAAGGTATGCGTGTTACATAAATAATCATATCACCTATCCTACGACAAATATTAAAGTGAAAAAAAAAGCTCTTTTACTAATTGTCCGTTCTAAATCGAAAAGGGTCAATGGTAAAAATTGTGGGAAAAGTCGGTATTCCCATGGGATATCAACCAAATCCTCCAGATCGAAGCTTTTTCAAATATTTAACAGCAATATCCAATTTCGTCTTATGTATCCGTGTGCCTCCTCTTCATAGCTGATTCGACGAAATCGTCATTCGACTAAAAGCTATTCTTTCTATTACGATTCCACCTATTATATTCCACAAATCGATCTTACCCACGTTGATATTGAAGTAAAACTTCTTTCAGGAGGGTACCGAAAATTTTCAACCGAAACGAAAAGTGAAAAAGGTTTGTTGAGTAGCACGTTATTTGAGTGGTGAAGAAGAAACGGGGAAATATCGATCGAGAAGAACTTGCAGGAGACGGCAATGGAAATACGAAACAACCGCATAACATTGAATACAAACAACAATTTCAAGCGCGAAACAAAAAGTGTATGCAACAATCATTGATAAGAATGATTGAAAAAAATGTTGTTGTCTTTTTTTTTCATTAGAATATATCGATAGCAGTACAGTATCGATTTCATAAATTGATCTTATTGTTAGAAACTTTGACGTATCGAGAACGATAGAAAATGTTTTACTTGAAACGCAAGGAAAACGATTTCCTTGACGTTGCTTTCGGCTTTATCGACGTTCATCGAAACCCTTTTCGTTCGTTAGCTTCGAACTTAGAAAAAGAGAGAGAAAGAGAGAGAAAGAGAGAGAAGTAATAGAAGTAGTAAAGGCTATCAATGACACGACGATGTGGCTCGTCGGTTTTAATAGCGACAGCCCGGTTGGTTGGCTGAAAGCAGCAAAATGGAGAAC